TATATATATATATAGGCCTATATTTAAAAAAATTAATGTACTTTTTAAAATTCTTTATAATTTTATATTATATAGTATGTAATGCAATGTGTACTGTACTATACTGCACATATATATAGAGTGTCATCATTTAATATTCCAACAAATTATACATCTGTCGTTATAAATAAACAATGAACACGTCATGCATATAAAAGTGTAATTATAGTTGTATACAAATTGTTTAAAAAATGAAAATTTTGAATGATTTTTTTACATTTTTATATTGTAATTTAGGACGTAGAGAATTAATACTTTATTATTTAGTTTGTCTTCCATTACAGCCTTTAATCTCTTCGAAATCACAACCAGTTTTGCGGTATACTTATGGCAAATTTCTATTCTATTCTGTGATATGTGCGGTTTTTTTAGGTCAGTTGTATTCCTGCTGTCGTTATATTCTTCATTTAAGCGCATAAATTTACCACAAATATCTTTTATACGAAGATATTTTTGATAAATTTATGCCATGAACTTAAACTAAGGATACTATTCTGCAGTTACGTGCTATACTTATATACATTTAGTATGTAAGTACGGTATGTATATACACTAAATATATATAAACACGACAACTATATATTTAAATTTATATATACAAAGTCGGATTGCTAAGTAGGAACGGTGAAATACATGCTTAGAAGCACGGAGCACCCGTACATTGGTGCATTTGGGGCACATGTCTCCCCTTTATCGTCGGGTTGCCCTTATATACAGGTATCCCTTTTATGCATAATCTTTTTAAATAATGTACGTACGATGCTTTTTTATATAGCTTGTGTCCTCTCCCTTTTTTATAGTCTGTGGGCGCCACTGTTAGGAATCCCGGATCTCGTAGGTATCGAAATAAGAAAAAAATTAAATATTTTTAATGTTACAATTTATAAATACTTCTATAGATACAATTAGACCTTATTTAGTTTATTATGTATAAAATTTTGTAGAAGAGTTCCCAATTTTCTGTGCCTAAGGACAGAGCCGGTTCTGATAAGTGTGCAGTGCGTGCATGCACGCAAGCGGCCAAATTTCTAGGACGGCTGATAGTACACTCTAAAAAATAAAATTCAAATGTAATTTAATACCATTTTAATATAGCTGGCAACGATGAAATAGATCGACGTTTGCATGATGAATAGTTATGCAATTTATGGGTATAAATAACGCCGAAGCATAATGTTAGGTGTTTTGCATCAGAAAACTTAAAAGTGCAAGCAACAGGTAATGTGTTGAACCATAAAAAAAAATTCATCAGTAGGAATTCCATAACCACTACGATTGTTTCTTGTTTTAAATCATGTAAAAAGCATAAAAACTTGGTTTTATATATGTAAATGTCTTATGATTAAATTAATTTTAATATACTAAAGTAAGAATAATTTACAAATTCTATTTTATGGCAGCGCTAAAATATAACTTTGAACAAAAAACTTGTTATTTACTGGCTTGATTTCAATAAAATTAAAATAAATATCATGTCAAATATTTTTAAGGATTTTTTTTTACCTCTGTAAACTATATGAAACTGTCATAAAATAATACCGGTAGGCCTTCATGGGTTGGGTTAGGTTATGAATTTATTCGCGATCAGTGTTTATAGGAGCGGCCAAATACTGTGTCTGTAGAATGCAGGCGCCTAAGTCCTGTCAAGGGACCATGAAAGTTCTTAATACGTCACTGCACATATACAGCAGATAAGTATCTCATCTATACATTAACTTAACATCAATTTAAAATTTTGCTTTAAACTTCAAATAAATTTAATTCAAATCGATTTTTATAATGTTTTTAAAACACCAATATTGTATTTCCTTTAAGAAAAGTATATAAAATGTCTAAGAAAGTACAGTAGAACCTCGAAAACTCGGCCTAATGTGGACCGAAGGGTGGCCGAGTTTGTGAAAATGCCGGGTTATCGGGAATGGGGTTAAAAAAAATAAGTACGAGTGTTTCCTCAGAAAATACTGTACTGTACTTGTATGTACTGTTTACTTGAGAATACAACAGAGAATAAACTGCCCAAATACCCTTAAACAAAGGAAAAGTACGTCCTTTATGAAGGCATAGAGCCTTTACTACATGAAAATGAAAATTAATGAATACATTGTGTACAGTAATTTACCTGATAAGACAGACCTCAGAAAAATACTTTATGAGAGCATTTATACTTTTATAGAGCTGTCTATAATGAAAATTAATTAACTAAGGATTTTTTTGCCCTGCCAGGGTGTGCCCGAGTTATCCGGAGTGCCGGGTTATCGAGAGCCGAGTTTTCGAGGTTCTACTGTATAACCTTGAATAGGTAACAATAATAGCTCACACTAAAGACATTTAAAATTTTCCAAATATAATATACTTGAATTTTTATGTATTTCAGATTTATAGATCTGAAAAACATGAAAATTCCAGTATATTTAAGAATATAATATAAAAAATTGTACTGTGGAATCTAATACCATCTCCATCTTTAATGCAATATATATACAGTGTGTTGTAATTTATGAGGTCCTGATCAAAATTTCCAATAGGCAGAAGGCTCAAAAATGGAGCCTATAGCAAAAAAACTGTCCATTTTTTGAGCTGTCTGTCCATTGAGACTTTTGATCAGGACGTCAAAAACTACAACATATTTTATTTTCAACCAATTTCATTTAAACCAGTTTTCCATAAGAAAACAGCGGTTGATTTAAAACAATAATTCTTTAAACACGAAAGTATTTATTTTTATTTTATTTCATTTAAAAAAAAATTAAGTTATATAATTTCCATTTTGTGTTTCTTTAAAGCATTAATATCGCGATCATTCTCTCTCGCTTTTTTAAATATTTAAATGAATATATTTTTTTAAAATTTATAACAAGAAAATTAATTTTTAATTTTAGTAATTGTTACAATGTTAATATATAAAATTTTGCCCCTGTAATTGGCTTCTAAATACCACGTGTACACGGCCTTGACGGTGACAACTTTCTTGCCAATAAAACTTTCGTGCCAGTTGCTATTAAACTTCCAGCAACTAAATCTTAACATAAAAAGATGAATTATAA